CAGGTGATCTGCAAAGACTGGAGCAACCTGGCTGGGAAAAACTACATTATTCTGAACATGACAGAAAATATAGACTGTGTGAGTGCCAAGCCCAGGCTGGGGCCAAAGGGAAATGTTGGAGGCAGGCGGGTGCAGTGGGGAAAGGGTAGCTCTTGGAGAATGGGAAGTGAGGCCTGGAGCAGTGGGCAAAGTGGAAGCTTAGTCCTTAAATCCCAGGGGATCACCTTATCCAGGGTATGAGCCAACAGCATCCACCAATGTCAAAATAAAAGAGGGCTTTTCTATTTTAAAATTTCTAAGGGCTCTTTTGTTCTCCGTTTCCTCTGCCTTTTAATTTAAAGGAATACTTTTATTCATGTGTGCAACATATTACACTGGCCAACACACATATTGGTGCCTTAAATAATAGACTTGTTTCTTGGTGTATTTGATCTGCTGATTCAAGAAATAGAACCAGTTTTTCCCTGTTAGGTCTAGATATAGAACATATGCCACATACCACTCTTCCTTCTGCTCACCCATAAAAACGTCAGGATATTTTAATGTAGTGTTAGCTAGCCAGAGATAGAGGAAGTGCACGCTGGCTTCATTTAAAGTAGTATGTGTTGTAATAAACATTTAGGTCGAGTTATACTTCACACGGTGCCCTTTGATCCAAAGATCTATTTGAGCAGTGCACATTACATGAACTTAGAATTGTCCCTAAGTATCACATCACCTCTATTAGGAACTGAATAGTAGGCAGTTCCAATTTGTTTTCTTAGAACGCATCCAGACTTGCTATCAGACAGAGAGCATTGTAAAGCTGATTATGGCAGATGTAATTAGGTTAAAATGATACCTTATCATTTGATCTCCATTTTGACCCATCTTATTAATTTAGGTATAAACAGTTTAATTGACACATAGTCTGCATATCATACAATTCAATAGTTCAATCATATTAAGAAGAGCTGTACAATCATTATTACCACAGTCAATTTTAGAACATTTTCTTCTTTCTTATACTCATTAGCTCCCCATTTTCCCATACTGTCTCTGTAGATTTGCCTATCCTGGATTTCATGTAGAGGAAAACATACAAAAAATCCCCCCAAAACAACAACAACAAAAACTAACAACAATGCCAAAATAAAATAGAGAAAAGCTTCAATCGAGAAGAAACTAGAATATTATTAAAAACAGAACAGCTTTAAAATGTTGATCCATTTTAAAGTTTCATTTAAAAAGTATTTTCTGCTTTTGTACTGAATTTTTTCTGTTTTGTCTGGTCATTGTTCGTTAGATTCTTGTTTGTGTTTCCTATGATTTTATGTATGTGAAATCCAGGATAGGTGTATCTATAGAGACAGTAACTGGATTGATAATTGCCTAGAGGTATGTATGGTCGGGGAGGGGGGGTGCAAAGTGGGGAGCTAACAACAATGAATAGGAGAAGGAAAAATTCTGAAATTGATTGTAGTGATGATTTTACAAATCTTAATATGATTGAATTGTACAAATTCAAATTTGTACAAATTGTACAAATCTTAATATGATTGAATTGTACAATATGTGAAGTATATACCAATAACATTATATTTTAAAAGCACGGGGGATGGGGGGAGGCAGAAATAAGTTGCCATACAATCAATAAGGAGCCCTCATGGAGGGTTCTGGGTTTGACTGTTAACCACAAGGTCAGCCATTAGGGCCCACCAGCCGCTCTGTAAGGGCAAGGTGAGACTTTTGCTCCTGTAACACTTTACAGACTCAGAAACCGCAGACGTTCCACTCTGCCCTGTAGCATCACTATGAGTCATAATGGACTCACTGGTAGTGAGTATGGTACAATAAATAGAGATTCAAATGTTTTGAAACCCAAAATGGGTCTGTCAAAATTCAAACTCCTTTATTAAAATGAAAATGTTCTATCCCTGTCATAAGGTAGTACAACTTCTCTACCTGTGCACAGAAACAGTACAAAGGAAAGTGGGAGTTTTTCTTATAAAGAAGCTTGGTGCCAGCCTCACCTCTGATACAGAGAACGCGAATTATCCATTGAGTTCTACATGTTAAACTGTGTTCTGAAATGGTTACTGCATGATTTGAAGAAGAAAAATTTAGAACTGCAAACTATGTAGGGAAATTGCTATGAAGTCTTAAATTTTCAACATTCCAAATTGCCCTCACACCTTTCATGTAAGTGCCTTTCCAATGTTCTTTCGTATGCTCCACTCTTCTCAAGTTGTGTGCTAGCTTGTCGTATCCAACTTGTAGTCTCTGTATATATTGTGTAGCCCCCAAAGAAAAACTGCTGCCGTCGAATGGATTCTTAACTCACAATGACCCTTAGGACAGAGAAGGACTGCCCTTTGAGCTTCCAAGCCTTTACATCTCTTAAAGGCTGCAGTGACCGGTGGGCTGCATCGCTGACTATGATTGGAAGCTCAGTGTGTCACCAACTTGTCATCACGGGTCCATATGTAGGGTCCTTCTCTTGGAAGTCCCTTAATACCCAATTCTTTTTCAAGGATGTATTACCTTTTGTGTCTTATCTTGCAATTTGTGGGTCTGAATTCTTCTTGCCTGTAAAACTAGGATGATAAATTAATGAATTGGTATGACAGTAGTTGAAAATAGAGTAGAACACCATCTCTAAAAAACGAGAACGGATGTAGTCTATCCACTGCAATAGTCTGCATCAGTACTCTTACAGAACCCCAGGTAACCAAGACACGAAGAAGAAAACAAATGGTTGGCCCCTGTTATGGGAGGCTAGAGACAGCCTCTGGTGTGCTTGTCTTTCCGCTGGCTTCCTTCTGTGTCAGAACAAGCACCAAGCTCATTGCCATTGACTCGAGCCTTTCTGTAGTCTTGTTTGTTTCAGGGCACTTTCCCCCGTTTTGCTCAGTTTTTCAAATTGACGCGCTCCTCAAATGTGTGATGTTGTGAGTTCATTTATATTTAAGAAAGGCTTTCAAAGAGCTGGTAGCTTTAACTTACCTA